ATACTTTTTAACGCAGAATAAAAAAAGGAATCGAATAGTGTAAAAAAAAATATAAAGTTCCATTTAAAAAAAAAAAGTGCAATTGCAACTAGCGGGTGCATCGATGCATTTTCAAAAAAAGTAAGGTCACAGAAGTTGACATTTGTTGTGCCACATAACTTTTTCTCTTATGATTCTTTTTCTGTATTTGATGCAATTCATTATTTCATAATTTTTTCAAACCAATTCACCATTCTACTCCCTACACTATTCATTATTACTATATACAACTTTTATACTATTTAAAATGTTTGATTCATTCGCGCATAATCACGTGACTACATAAGTTCCTGTCCCTTAAAATTCTTTGACGCGTCTCTCCTACAGGATCCCTACAACGAATTACCTTATACCGCCGTCTGTTAGAATCTTATCGAACTAACAGAGATAATCATGACTTTTTGTTAATAAACAAATAATATTGCGATTATAAATTGAGATATAAACTATCCTATCTTTCAAGTTGGATGAAACTGCACACACTATGCAAAATTTGATTAAAATCGGTTCAGTAGTTTAGGAGTCTATTGCGGACAAACAACGTGACACGTAATTTATATATATTAAGATATTCCATAGTGCAATAAATATATTTATATTGTACTATTATTATATATATATATAAGTTTATTTTTATAAAAATTTTCAAATTTTAAAAGACGTGAATCACGTCAGCGGTAATCAGGAATAGAACTTGAAAAAAACGTCAATTCACGTCAGCAGTCGCAAATGTGTTAAATGATAATTGTTCAAAAATTCAGTTCGTATTTGCGATTAGAATACGATTGGAATACTTATGTGAATATTGTTAAATAGTCAAGGAGAGATTGCGTAAACGAATCAGAAAAGAAAATTGCTGAATATATTTATCTTGGTAATAGAAAAAAGAAAAAAATATTCGTCCAACTCTCTTTCTCTTTTATTAAAAAATAATGAAAAGTAGGTAAAGTGCAATAATCATTATACCTCGAACAACGTGTATAGTTGAACAAGCAAGGTTGCTCAATGTCGTTGCACCGTTCATTTTCGATTTTACGAGCCACTTTATTCTTAAATCAAAATTATATTTAGTATAAAAGTTAACCTAACTAAATTACAATGTTGTCTTATTGCATTGCTTATGATTTGATGGTTTATCGTGTGCAATAGGGTATCACACGTTATGTTCGTAAAACTTTTCGATCGTATTTAACAAGTAGGTTAAAGTTAATTGCCGTAACAGGGAATTAAGTAACACGGCTTTTGACTATACTGGGATACTAACAATTTTCATTATAACATTGGAATTCGATCATGAGATTTACGAGTAAAAGGTATTTGTTTTGTTTTTTTTGTTGTTGTATTTTTATTTTTCAAACGAAAGGTTTCACGGTTCATCGTACTGAACAAGGTCAAAATAAAATTTTTTAACGATATGTTGGTTAATCAATTCAAAAAGAATGTCATATGTTACGGTGAAGCATATCGAATTTGGGCCCAGTTAACTTCCCTTTTTCTTACCTCGGCATTGACACGGATACCAAACGAACGGTATTTCTTCGGGAGAAAGTCTAGTAAAACGGGTTTACTTCAGATAAAGAGGATACCAACGGAAAGCCACCTAAGTGTAGAGAGGGGTTTTTAGGTGAAGCAAGGAAGGAAGGAAAGGAAAGAGTTGCTTCTTCTACTTCTTCTTCTGCTTCTTCTAATTTTTTATCTATCACGTTTTTTATTTCAT